CGTCCCCCCCTTCCGGGCTTTTTCGTCTCCGGGGGGGGGCCCGGGCCCCCCCGGCCCCCCCCCCCCCTGCGTACGCCACTGTACATGATCTTTACATAATATCCCTGCATTGTACGACATATGACAATATTGATTTTAGCATTCAGTGATAAAAACATAATAGACATGATTCGTTGCATGTCAAGGAAAAAAAAGGATGTTAATAAAATCATTATGAGATAAAAATGTAAATTATGAAATAAATGATTTTAATAATAAAAAGATATATTCAATAAATCAATTTGACTGAAGGGCTTATGTAGGTGAGACTTTGTTTTATTCATTACGTAAAAAAGAAATCAAATTACCGTAGAACTTTTTAATTTGTCTATCAGCTTAACGGTTTGCTTTTGTTTCTAATGTGTTAAAATACATTATGAATTTCTTTTCTCATCACTATATTTGTGGTGCTTTTGTGATGATTCGTTGCTAAGGTGTTTTGCCTGATCTCGACGAAAGAGTGGGTGAAAGTTCCGCCTTACACTTTGACCTTCTCTTTAGTTCATATGATTGTGCATAAAATAAGTTTTATTACTTCTTTCACGACACACAAACATCTAAATCATTATCTATAATATTTACCATTGAAATTTTATTAGCACTAAACATAAATAATTTCGAATAGTATCTAAAAAGACGTATTAATTAATCTAATATCTATTCTCGGTATATATTTAATTCAGATATTCATTTTTAAATAAAATAAAAATCGAATAATGAGTTATTTTATAATTCGATTAATTAAAAATTCTTTTAACAATAATATAAACTTTTATATTTCAAATTTATTTAGTGAACAAAAAATATCTATGGTTGAATATGGTGCTGGTAGTAGTACATTTTTCTTCAGTTCTTATGTTGATTATTATGTTAGTATTGAGCATAGTCTTGATTATTGCCGTGAACTTGAACGTATGGCTGCTAGTCAACCACATCGATCTGTTAAAATATTTTATATGGGACGTAATTCATCAGGATTTTATATAAAACATTGTTTTGAACAAAAGCCAGATAAATTAAATTTAACTTCATATATTGAAATTTATTGTGTACCAAGAAATGCATATTCATTTACAGCTTATCGTTTATGGGCAACAGGTGGACGAAGTACTTATACAATGTATCGTGATTATGTCGATTTTCTTTCAATATATTTTCGTGATACAAAATTCGATTTTGCTTTTCTTGATGGACGTGCGCGACCACAAGTTGCTTACGCTATATTAAAACAATTAAATGGATCAAATGCAAAAGTATTTATACATGATTGGAATCAACGAAAAGAATATCATATAATTGAACGAGAATTTTATAATATAATTGATCAACAAATTGAAAGTACTCAATCGGGTGGTGGAGGTCTTGTTGTATTAGAAAAGAAATCAGAAGATATTGGACAAAAAAATATTAATGATATTGAATGGAAAGATGGAAAAGAACCAGAATGGTGGATTTAATAAATTTTATTTTATCCATTATCATTAGAACAACAAATATAAGCATTTTTGTGTTGAATAAAATTTTTAGGAGAGAAAAATATCTCACTGATATTGGATTACAATATATATGATCCATTTTACTACAAAAAATGTTCGTATTTATATGACAAATGGTAATCCATTAAATATTTGTTAGGATATGAGAGATTATAGCTGATCTTCCTACTTTTTTTTCATTTTTCTTAATTTCGTTCTCTATTGTGCATAGATGATATGTATATATAGATATTTTCTTCTTTTCTTTTCTGCGTTCATGGTATATTCCATATTGTTCTCTTTCATTGATCCAATTCGGCTGTGTTGATATGTTCCCTCTCGTTTTTTTCTCACTGCATTCATATACCGGGTGTTCCAAAAGTTTTGCAACGTTTTGTATTTTGCATTTATCTCGACTTGAGAAAATGATAAAATCTTGATGTTTTTCTTAAAAGATGCACCGTGAAAAGCTCTACAAAAACTGTATAAAGAAATCTCTATTAACTGGTTTTGATGGTTTTCCGATGCTTAATACGAACAACCTACATGGTGGCGCGATGTCCCACCGTATTGAGCATTGACAAAATGTTTGAAAGACCTTTTTCGTTTTGCAATAGGGATTTGTTCATACAGATTGTGTAGAGCTTTGAACAGCGTATATTTGAAAAAAAATCGAGATGTTATCATTTTCTCAAGCCGAGATATATGCAAAACAAAGATGTCTTGCAAACATTTTTATTATGCTGAAAAATAGCTCTATTATTTTGGTAGTTCGTTATGAGTGTGGAAAAACCAACAGAGCAAGTCAAGAGGGACTTGTTTACACGAACTTTGTAGAGCTTTTCACGGCGCATCTTTTAAGAAAATAATCAAGATTGTATCATTTTCTCAAGTCGAGATATAGACGAAATAAAAAAAACTTATAACATCCGGTAACAACGTCACGCATATCTTCACTTTTAATCATCTCGAAAACCATCAGGACCAGTAAATAGAGATTTCTTTATACAGTTTTTGTAGAACGTTTCACGGCGCATCTTTTAAGAAAAAAATCAAGATTTTATCATTTTCTCAAGTCGAGATAAATGCAAAATACAAAATGTTTCAAAAGTTTTGGGACACCCGGTATATATATATAATCGTGATTTTGGAAATACAAAGGGAGATTAGACAGCGAACATCTAACTATATTAAGTGACTATTTTCCTTTTTACAAATGGTATCAGCTGAATGCTTTGATGTAATCATATAGAAACTACATAACTGTTTTGATAGCAATTTGAAATTTCGTGTTTCTATCATCACGTTAGTGACTGGAGTAGTTATTCAGATCGTTTCATAAGCCAAAATAAATTACAGATAATCTTTTATGAATGTATTGACTCAATCTAATTAACGGAGATAAATAGACAGTAGCATGACTAGTCTTTTTCGTTTTAATCTCAGTCTTCCGAAGTTCATATCTAGTACATGTTTAAGTTCAATCTATATTTAGTTTGACTTTGTTTTACTTGTAGAGCCCGTTGAGTTCAAAATTTCCGGATAGGATTTCAGGTACCAATGGTACTATTGGTTCAATAGCATATTTAAATAAAACGATATAGGTGTTTTTTCTATTTTATAGCAGTCCCTAAAAATGTTCTAAAATACTTACCTAGGATAAATATTTTTCTAATATCATTGTTCTCAGCATCTTAATCAATTTCAACGAGAATATCTCTTTCTACCTGCTCGACTTCATATTAAGTTGATCCATCTGTATCAATTAAACTAAGAAAAATACACAAACAATCAAATGCATAGTGCATTGATGAAGAATTATTGTTATAACTTCGAATACTTCTAAGCTTTTCTTAGTTTCATTGAGGTTTTCTCATAGATATATTATGTCAAGCTAAACATCGTAGCATAGTTTTGATGTTTCATCCTTACCTTAATGATTCAATTATTAGAAAATAAATGCTTCCTCTTGAAGATCAAGTGCAATATTTTACAATTTTGAGAGTATCCTCAATCCACTTTCTAAAGTTTCTGGAGAATAACACATTAGAAAAAGTGGAAATTTTCACGATAGAAAGATCATGGCAAGAAAAGCAATAATTGTCATATACTCAGAGTTCTCGGATGTTGTTCTCTATGAGATGGTTAGATCACAATGGTCCTAATTTTCGCCACCGTTTCTCCGAGATGTTATATTTAATCGCGCTGAAATTTTCTTTTAAAGGCAGTAGACACTATTAGGTTATGAATATCTTTTTATTTATTGTCCTTCGATGTTAGATCTCAAAATGTACTCAACAGATAGCTACTAATAATTGAGACTATACAATGGTCACAGAAAAACAAAAACTTAAGGTCAGGAAAGAGATATCATTAAACTTAAAATGAAAAATACACATGTTTAACATATAGATATGATCTCTATTCTAAAAATTTAAATTTTTCAATATGACTCAATCATACTAAATCTTTAAAAATAATTTGAAATATATTGGTTATTACTATTTATTATGTTTAAAATTTGTTTTGTTTTTCTAATAATAAACGTCAGTTTTTAACTGAAATAAATAAATTGATAAGATTAATCAATATTGAGAAAACTTATTAACAATAATTAATCCAATTCACTTTACTAGGTGCTGTAAGTGGACGTGTTGGTAGAATAACACGAACGTTTCTTGTTTTTTTTACATGTTCTATAGAAAGTGAATCTTGAAATGGTGTTGAACATGTTGAAAATGAAGGTGTTGTATTTGTACATGTTGTAGTTGTAACAGAAGAAGAAGAAGAAGAAGTAGATGAAGAAATACTTCTACTAGGTGTTCTTCGTGCAACAAATGGTGTTTGAGGTCGTCTAATTACTTCTTCTCCATAGACTTGTTCAATTTGATTAGCTCTTTCAAGTAATTCTCGACAACAAGCAGCACTATCGAGAACGATTGGACTTCCTTTCCATTGTTGTTCCATTTTAATTTGATTTTTTTTAGTTTGTGTCATCATTTTAATGATTACATGACGACGTTTGTTTATTAATGATAAAGCACGTTTATGTTTCATTTGTAATAATGTACGTTCATCAGGTTTACCAGTTGTATCACGTTCATCAATAATTTTAACTCGATGTGGTACACTTGACATACGTGGTAACCGTTCATGAAGACGTTCAGCAGCTCGACGAGCAAATAATGATATTTCTTCTCGTGCATACGCTGGATCAGATAGAAGACGACGAGAACGATTAGCATAAAATATTTCTACGGCTGCATCATTGGATATGGCAGCTGACGTTGATCTTTGACGTGCTGATGCAGCAGAACGAATGTTTCTATCAAAAATTATCATATAGATTATTAATTATTTCAAATATCACTAAAAATCGATCATGATTATATCAATTGTTCAATTAACAATAGGTCATTGAAAAATTTTCTGAACTGATTCTATTTACAGAAAATAAAAACTGTTGCTGTATTAGTATTTATGACTACTATCTATTTCAGAATATTATGCGCTCCACTGTTTTCTTGAATATTTTTTGATAGGAACATTTTAAAGATCTGCGGTTTTCACCATTTAAGAGAGAAGATCTACAGTCATCGAAGTATGTCGACATTTGACTGATTAGCTATTTTTCTTTTTCGATTTTTACAGGACTAATCAATAGAGAAATGCCTTTTTTTTCAATCTACACAAGACCGACATTCCTAACTTGTTTCGTTCGAGAGTTATAAGTCTTTTTCTGAGATCCTCGATTTTAGCCAATTAACCTGTGATCACCAGGAACAGTAGTCAAGCAGAAGTAATTCACTACGCTGAGTCAAATAGTGATATTTGTTTTTATGTTTGAACTGATCTGATACTGTTATCTTAATATTTCTGACATTCTGCAATCAGTCTCCATACAAGGAAGAAGTTGACATTTCAGAAATATTGAGATGATAGTGTCCAATCAGTTTGAACTTAAGAACAAATATCATAGATCAACTCAGCGCGGTGAATTATTTCTTTTTTTAACTACTTTTTTGGGTGATCACGATATGATTAAAGTCTGTTCTATATGAGTTTCACATTCATTAATGTTAATTTAGTAGCATGTCGTTTATATCTAGAAATATAATCAATGGGTAAGCTAATCGTCTTTTAAATTGACGAATTACTTAAAAAAATATGGCGTATGATGAGGTGTTATTTTTGTATATTAACGTTATATATGAAGAAGATATTAAATGGTTTTTATTTTCGAAGCTAAAAACAATTTTCGTAAGTTTTCGATTTTCATATACTGTATGAAATGTGCGTAGATGTCAACATTAATACAACAACGCTTCTTGTTCCTTCAAAAAAAAAAGGAACTATATATAAAAATATTTTTCGCATGAACATATTTATTTAGTATTTGGTGTTTATGTGAGGAGTGTCATGGATTTCTTAGGGTATGAAGTATTTTTTTCTCCTCAAAATGATATCCATCTATCAATACATAGATTTTTGCTAGATTCGACTGTCCGAAAAAATATTAATTTGTTCTAATCTTTCAATAGACCGTATTGAAACTAACATGTGAGCTAAATTGATTGCATAAGCATACTTTGATAATGCCTTCTAATAGTCGTCATACCATTAGAAGCTATTCATGGAAAGCAGTGCATATGAAGAATGTATAAAAGGCAAATAGTTCGATATTTACTTGTCTTCTTTCATAACAGAATATGAAAAGAAATTCAAGTTTTATTATCTGAAAACAAAAACTATAGAAGAAAATTTACATTTCTCTATAACTGGTTTACGTAATCTGTTAAAAGTGTATTGTTTATATAGTATTTCAAGGTTTCAATAGAGCTATTATAACGATGTCTTATTTTAATACTTAGAATTTATTAATACCTCATGCATGATAGGAATCGATCAATTTAATTATTATTTCTGATATATAAAAAATTAAAATCTTGGTTGAAAATATTACTGTTCAAAATTTAATTAATTTTTCATTATCTGTCAAAAATTAAATTTCTGATCTGATTTGACTTATTCAAACTACTCACAACATTACTAATAAAAAAATCTTAATTAGTTTTGAAACATAAATATAATAGAGACAATTTTTTAAGATATACATACGTTGTTTTTGTTATTGTCGATGTTGTGGGTTCATCAACAAATACAATTTTAATATCTCGTGATGGATCAAGTGCAAAAAAATTTTTTTCAAGATCAACAAAAGTAAATATTCGTGCTTTTCTTAATTCTTGTTCTTGTTTAATACGTTGATTATGATCATATATTTTTTGATAATAATTATCTATAAATTCATCAAGTTTATTTTCATTTAAAGCTAGAAGATATTCATTTTCAAATTGAAGTCGATCATCATTTTTCTTTAGAAGTTTTGCTGATATTAAAGCTCGTTCTAATTGAACAAATTTATATGAATTTGAAATAGATTTTTTATTTATCAGTGATGATGATGTCATAGATAAACCAGACCATTGTCGAATAGGTACAGATACTTCAGATAGTTTAATTTGAGATTCTTTTTCTATATTTTCAATTTCTGTTGTTCCATCCAAATCATTTTCATCTTCATCACTAGGTATTGAAAAAAGTTTAACTCCTGGTATTATCGATTGATTTTGATCAATTCGTATCTTTAAAATGTATATATTTATAACATTGTTTAATAATGCGGTAATCAAAGCTTACTTGATCGTCGTTATTTACTGATGTTGCTGCCATATTTTGGTAACTATTTCTTTGTTGTGTGTGTGTGTATATAGAATAATGGTGTCATGTCATTCAATTCATGAAATAGAAGAACAGAGAAAAAGAAAAGAAAAAAAAATTTATGCAAAGTTTTTCTTTTTATATGTTCTCCCATTTTGTAATAAATCAACGCATTGCATACTCAATGTTGGAAGACAAATAAATGCTTTGCTTCAATCATGCACAGTTAATGAAACATTTATGAATAGCTATTTCTTTCGATCAGAAATAACAATAGAAGTATTGTTATGTTAGTTGATTCAATCATATTGGAAGAACATTTACCTTGAGATATACTCAACTTCGTTTTTTTCTTGTTTTTGAAAAACAAATGTTTGCATAATAAATAGTTAAATGGAAGAAATTTAGATATAAAAAAAATTTCTTTACGTGTAACTGTTAACCGAAACGAGGATTTAATCCACTGTTTAAACGTCGTCGTAGTCAACATACAATCTGTTTATTCAAATAAAAAAAAAAAGAAGTCGTACATAATAAGAACTCTTTATATTGATCGAGTAAAACTTTTATTAAGTTCAAAATGAATCTATTCAAACGATATTATTCACTTGAATTAAGTTTCTTTCTGTCTTTTTTTTTATATAGAATACTGTATTTCAGGGTTAAACGTTGATTTATCGACAATTATTCATTTTTGTTGAACAAGTGCAATACACTATAAAATTCTTTTTTATTACATTGAATTAAAAAATCTGTCTGAATGACTTCAAATTGATAAAAAAGAAAGAACGTATACTCAAAAGACTAATCAATAAAATAACTATTGTTATTCTCTATAAAACTTGAACAATTTTGTTTTTAGTTACTAATAATTTTGAAACAGTAAGTTCGCACGAACAAGTCAAGCAAGGGAAAATTGATCGCAAATCAATTTTGTAGTATATAATTACCGTAGACTAGGTCTTTATACTTGAGATTTTGAGTATACTCATATTTTCAATAAATTTTATCATTACTTCATTAGTCAACAGTGTACATAAAGCTTTTAGAGTGTTTGGAAAAAAAAATTCCTCTTTTGATTTCAGCTAAGTGTTAATGTCAACATTTTCTTTCGTAGAAAATCATAAAAGTATTGCATGAAGACAGAATCTAAGGGCAATAATTTAATATTGAAAAGAAATTGTAGTCCCAAATAATTTCTGTATATCTGAAAGATATGTCCTCTTCTTGATTGATGTTTAATTTCTTAAATATCTCCTCGCTATTCTTTAATTTATGAGTGTTAATGAAACTTTCATCGGAAGAAGTTTGTTCTCTTTTTTTTTTCTTTTTTACAAACTCCATTGTCGCATGTAATTCGAGTAGAAGTGTGAGGGTAATTGTATGTCTCAATCATATAAATGGTGTCTTTTAAGAAGAAAATAAATTTCACAAGTATCAGAATCTGTACAAAAAAAAAAAAACATTAGTTATTTCTCAAAAATATTTTCTTCGTGATCATCATCATTTGGATGTATCTTATAACAGCATTATTAATACTTATTACTTGTGTGGTTATTATGAGTTGCTATTAAAATATTACAATCTGTCACTCAAAATCTCTTAATTCCGATTATCTTAATACTGCAATAATAATTTCAGATATAGAGTTTGATTATGAAAACAAAAGAAGAATTTTCACGGATATTATGGTATTTTGAAACAACAGATGAAATCTATCATTATTCATTGAATACAATATTTAATGTGCTCTTTTTGGAAGAGAAAATTCAAATAGCCTTTTTTCTTTATTTGATTGTTAAAATATTGATAATATTTTGCCATAGGATCTAGAACAAAACATCTTTCTCAAATATATAGATTTTTGTGTACTCAAAAAGTGAGTACACTCTAGAATCGGTCAGTATGTCCGTCCGGCCGTTTACACGATAACTGTCGAAAGGAGAGTCAGATCATGATGAAATTTTCTACACAGTTCAGTCTTAACAATGTCTCGGTCGAGTTCGAAGATGAG